GGTTCTGACTTTTCCTCTAGAAGCACCATCTTCTCTAGGGGGGGGCGACAACGACCTTTCTGCACAGAAAGGTCGTGAACACCCGGAACCTTCTCGCTGTGAGGCAACGGTGCTACCCACCATGCTGCCCACGTTGACATATCTGACTTGCACGTGCCTCAAAAACAAGCAGATGGGGATTTTTCAACCATCCATCCATTATCTATACCACTTATTCCTGAACAGGGTCCTGGGGGTGGGGGTTGGAGCCAATCCCAGCTGACACTGAGCGAGAGGCGGGGTCCACAAACAACCACACACACCCATCCTCACTCCTACGGGTAATTTAGAGTTGCCAGTCAACCTGAGCTGCATGTCTTTGGACTGTGGGAGGAAGCCAGAGTACCTGGATAAAACCCGCACAGGCACAGGGAGAACATGCAGACTCTGTGCAGAAAGGTTCCAGGTCGGCCGGGGCTCAGACCCAGAACCTTCTTGCTGTGAGGCGACAGCGCTATTTCAACCAAACCAAAAGCTGAACTTTAATAGTGCTATATTGATCAGTCATGGTAGTTCAAACTGTCACACATCTAACTCTGCATTAAAACACTTGTCACTCAACATTATTACACTTAATTCAAATTACAAATCTTCGCTTCATCAGGATGTGAACTCAGTGCAAGTGCAGCCTGGCCGAGCCGCTACAGCGTAAACTCTTTGGTTTGTATTTCATTCATAAAAAGTCCTCTTACAATAAATGTTTTAAACATCTGTGGCCAAAAAGCTGTTTTCAGAACTATTATTTGTGTTTAGATATTCATTGTTGCAGTCCAGCAGGTTTTCTAAAAATGCTTTTATATAAGAGTTTGTAATTCACCACAGTCAGGAGAGGTTCATCTTCAGAAAGTTATGTCATCTCCCAGTTATCACAGCTTCATGAGGAAAACCAGGAACATGTCTAAAACAGGGTTACACCAGCCTCTGGATGGGAAACCTGTAAACTCTACATCTTAAAAACACACAGAGGAGCTGAGTGCTGGAGCAGCAGATGCAGTGAGCTTTGGGAGAGACAGCTGCGTGACTCACATATGTTTTGAAATGAGCACTGCTTGTTGTGGACTGACTGGTATTCAGAGCAACCGCTTATCTTTAGTTTCCAAAGTCTGTGCAGTGGAGATAACTTCACTAATACATTAGAAAACAGGTGTATCTGAATAAAGTCTGCAGTCTAACAGCAGGCATTAGAGTGACGTTGGTACTTTTGTCTCCATGGAAGCAAATATGATGCAATGGTACTTTCTACATGGAAAAAATTGGTTTCATTTACTTTGGACAGTCCAGTGTTGCTTAATGTTGTGTCCAGCCAAGACTGTGTTAACCCACAGTTTCAGTGGTGGTTAATAAGTTAATAAGTAAAGTATTATTAACTGTAAAAACTGGGGCAAATAAACAAAGACTAACTAAATATTCTATCAGTGTCTTAGGGCTAGGAATCACAGTACAACTCATGATAAATCATTCAGCCTAAAACCGCTACCAGATACACAGTATACTGTACCACTGCTGAATAAATCATACATGTACTACTGTAGAATATAAAATGTGTACTGCATTTATGTGCTATATTATGAAGTGCATTTACAAACTGAACCTGTAGAGTGTACTGCATTTATGTGCTGTATTATGAAGTGCATTTACAAACTGAACCTGTTTATCACTCACACACATACATGGGTTCTGTGAAATTTAAAGCAAGTCAAGAGGTAAAATGTTTGTGGCACCTCACAGTAATTCAAATCTTTGTCAGTCTTCTATTGAATCTACCACTGTGTATTGATAAGGTACGTGTACTGCATTAGTGCTGAAGTTTTGCAGCTTTGCAGTTTCTGGACAATTAGTTGAAGAATATGCCAGCTTGGAATCAGACATGCATCATGTTTACTATTTTCTGATATATTGAATTTATTATTGATAATAATTCATATTTAATAGAAAAAATGCACCAATACAGCCAAAGATTTACCTATTTATTAGGTGCAGCCATAAAGCAGATCATGATTCCCTTCTGTATGTTTTATAAACTCTGCCATCTTGTTGTAATCTGTAGCATGTTTCCAGGTTTTTGTACCAGGACTTAACTGTCTTTTAATTTCCTCCTCCCCGTCCTGCAGAAGTAATGCATGCACAGACATTATTGCCAAGTGAACATCCAAGCTTTCCCATGTGTGATTGTTCCTCTATCGCCAGCCCTTCATTCTTCTTTCCCCTTGCTCCAGCTTCTCTCACAGGCTGTTTCAGGTTTAGGTTGAGTCTCATAGTTTGTTTGTTCTGTGGGAGTAGTGTTAATTCCTGTCATATTTGCCTCATGATCGTACCAGTCAGCGAGAGAGGAGCTCGCTGATGCCTGGGTTAGGGTTCTTATTTACTTCTTGGAAATACTCAAAGGCCCCCTTTTCGCATCATGATGTGTCCATATGTGTTTTGTGCATATGCTTGAATGTGTTTATGTTTCACATCAGGAAGTTGAGCCAGCACAGAGGGAAGCATATTGAGGGAGGATGTGTCAACGGTTCCTTTTCAACACTTCCTTACCCAGTGGGAAAGTTTGTGTCGCTGAGAGTGTGATCACCTTGAAGCACTACTTTTCTGGGTTGAGAGGAACACTTAGATTTTTAAGTGATATTAATGAGAAAACACTGAAAGGATCTTTACATAAGATAGATATTAATATGAGGTTTAGCATTTTCACAGCCCTGCCACACAGGTAGATGAATTCATCAGTGTTTTCCTTTCACATTAAATACAACCCCAGATGTTTTAGAGTCTGGGAAGAATCTGCAGCTGAGTTCGTAACTGTGTCAGATTTCTGCTGCATTAGGGAGCATTTATATTGTATTTGTTGTTGTTAGCAAGGAGGAACACTCAAACAGCAAGCATGCACACACTAATTTAGCAAATAGTGGGTGCTCATCTCCCTTGTGGCTTGTGTGCATTCAGCAGATTCCACAGATTTCAGACCCGTGTGGAGATTCCTCAGCCCGCCAGTCCTATCCAACACAAACCTTCTTCTGTTGTCTCTGCCAGAGCTTCTCTCACCGCGCAGGGGCACTTAACGCCAGCCAGAGTGCCTGATATGTGTCAGTGACACTGATGCCAGGGCTGCAGTGTGTGTTGATGGCACTCTTATTAGGGTCTCCAAATCTGGGTTCGTGGTTCATGAGTCATTAGATTCATGCATACTGCTAACCACTAATTTTCCTCTTTTCTTTATGAGTCCCTGACATGTCTTGTTGATTCAAAGACACCTTGTAGTTTCATTTGTCTGCTTTACAGTAACACTAACCACTAATTTTCCTCTTTTCATTATGAGTCCCTGACATGTCTTGTTCATTCAAAGACACCTTGTAGTTTCATTTGTGATGAGCAGCAGAGCATAGAGGATAGAAAGCTCTGTTAATTTCTGCCTTTCAGAGGAGAGAAGGTCAGTAGTAAGAAACACTGCAGTTAAACCAACCATTTATAAAAGAAGTTAGACAGTATTCTGTTTAGTCAGTATTCTTGGTTTGCATAAAGAACTCATAAAAGAAGGCGATTTTACTTTTATGTTTGGGAGCAGCACTTAAGAAGGTCAAGGGCGAGCAATGACAGACCATTTTGTATAATGAGTCATCATTATGATGAAACTGCAGCTGTAGCGCTCTTATCGGGAGCACAAGATGAACAAATCTGCATCAGTGAGGACCTCACTTGGTGAAAACTACTAAAAATGGTTGGCAGAATGGCTGCGCCATCAAAATACAGCCATTATTAACACTAATATGACAGATTCAACTCATTTTAAAGGAGCTGAACACTGTATTTGTATATGATTTCACTTGTTTTTATTTAGTTTCCATTTTTTCTAAAATTGTAACTAGATTTCCCATCTGCTATTTCTGGAAATGGGACCAAAGGAAGTCTTTTGTTCAGATTCTTTACTGAGAGAGAGAAGTTCTTGGAGGTTTGAGTGGTGGGTGGGGTGTTAGCTAAAAACAACCAGCTTACGTAATATAACGGAGTTACATTCCCTCATTGCTGTGTCAGGTTGTGCGTGAGAGAAAACGTTGAGTCAGACCACCTCACTTGTTTTAATGTTCATTTATGTCCACTGATGTAACTAAGTTAGATTTGGTTCGGTCAGCCTCCTGCTAGTGTTTCCTGTAGAAAGTGACTCACTGACAGACTTATTTATAGAGATTGTTCATTGTCTTTGAGTATTTGGTTGACACAGGGCCGGAGCACACAACCGCTCTGATATGGAAGGAGTGTCAGGTCAGTTCTGGTCAGAGTGACCAAGATTATCTTGACCAGTGAAGTCTCTATTTCTCTCAATACACTCTCCTTGGTGACACAGCCATTAAAGCTCCCTCCGCTAAATAAAGAAACTGCTTCATCCATCCAGAGGAAGGGAGGTTCTGGCATTGAGTTTTAGTTTTTTCCTGGATGACAATACCGCTCTTACTCTTCCTGCCATCCCTGAGTGGGGCTGGATGGGATAGGGCGAGGGGAGGCGGTCAGAGGTTAGCGCCCGGCTTCCATTGTCCTCCACGGAGCCTGGAGCAAGCAAGGTTGCATCTCAGACCGGAACTGGTCCCTTCCTCTGAACTCCACACCTACCCCCTCCCCAAATTCTCCACGAACCTTCCAAGCAAGGCCTCCAATCACATACATCCAAGACCCTCTTCCTTCCTGGCGATAAGTTGAAGTCACGTGGCGTCAAACAGCAGCTTTGGTTTACTCATGACTGTTAAAAACACAGAGCACAACACATCAGCATGCAGCAGCCACCTGCATGTTCAGCCTCGGCTTTATATTTACGATTAACGAGTCACTGGAGCTGACCATAATCTTTGTGCCTCTTGTTCTTCCCGAACAGACACCCATGGTGGAGGTATTTTCAAAAAGTTAGCATTTGGTATATACTTGAATATCACATATGTTTTATTAACATCCCAGTTTTTTTCTTCTGTTGCATCTTCCAGGAAGTTCGCACTGAACTGCGGCCACGTCTGTGTGTGATCCAACAAGGGACTAATGGGTATGGCTTCAACCTGCACAGCGAGCGGGCGCGGCCTGGCCAGTACATCAGAGCTGTGGATGAAGACTCTCCAGCAGAGAGGGCGGGCCTGCTGCCCAAGGACAAGATAATACAGGTACTTTAATGAGGTCAATGCTGGAGTACTGTGAGTCAATGTGCTGCATGAAGAGGGACATGTAGGCAAATTATTATTTTTCCATTAAGGTTTGGAAAATGTTGGTAGCATTTGTCTGAATCCTGGGAGGCTTTAAGCACACTCACCTTCTTTCACTTAATTAGTTTAGTCAACAGTTACAAAGTAATCTTTCTGAGAAAAGTACAATATTCATGCAAATAGTGTATCCTGATTACTCTGCCATACGTGCGTTCTCGACAGCGTGTAGGGGTTTTGTTGTTTTTGCAGGAGGGGAAGAGGGATAGAGAAGAATGGTGTGACGTGTAGCCAGGCCTCAGCTAACCCAAAGTATGGAACAGAGGTCAACATCATAAAAGATTTTCTGCTTATACCTGTCCTGTGAGCCAGTTATTCATTATACAGTTATGCAACATGGTGTGGTAAATTAACCATAGCACTTTCACAAGTGTCAGACAATTAAAAATAGCTGCAAAACCTTAAATTCCTATATTATTGGGTTTGTACCAAAGTTCACTTTATGTTCATAGGAATGTGATGTGAACTAACAACCACTCTGTGGGGTCTTAAATCCTCCAGAGGACTTGGGTGTTAACTGTCACTGTGAGCAGCCTCGTGCTGGAATAACCAGTTTCTGACCTGGTGTGGGAGCGGCTCTGACCACCTCTGGCATGGACGGGTCTAAAGACAACACACATCTGTATTTGTGTGTGTTTTTGTACTTGCTACAGAGTGAGGACATTTTGGCCGGTCCTCACTTTCTGAAACACATTTTGAGGGTTAAGACTTGGTTTAAGGGCTCAGGTTAGATTTAGGTTAGGGTCACGGTTGGGGTTAGGCATTTAGTTCTGATGGTTAAGTGTTAGGGTTACGGGCCAGGGAATGCATTATATCAATGAGTGTCCACACAAAGATAGAAGTACAAGTGTGTTTGAGTTTTATTTTCCCCGTATGTCTTCTAGGTCTCTACAACATACATGTTTGAGTTTTATTTTCCCAGTATGTCTTCTAGGTCTCTACAACATACATGTTTTTTAACATTTCTACCAAAGACAGTTTTTGTTGCGCTCTTAATTACTGTACATTCAACCAGTCATTCCACTGTTTAACTAGCAGAAGCAGCTCACACTGAGCATGTCTGACTCATTCGGCAGAATATTTTTAACACACAGATAAATAAAAGTGGCAACATGTCCACTGATGTGAAGTCTCATGCATGTGTGAGTGATTTTATAGAAAATATAAGAAGCACAGGAAAATGAAAAGGACAAATCAGAAGAGGATGAAGACCGATAGTGCAGAGGGATTAAAAACCACAGAGTTTCAGGTCTGTATTGAGTCTTGCAAGGGGTTTCCAATCCAGAGGGCCCCAGACAGAGCTGCCTCCCACCGAGGAGCAAGGCTTTGTGAGGAGCCCACCGCCATTGTTACTGCTGTTACTGGCCAAGCAGCTATTGTTCAGCTTCCTCTGTGGGACCAGCTTAGACGTGCAGGTCCACCCTGTGACCTAAACACACACATACACCCTTAGAGACATTTTTCACATGCTTTCCCATGGAGATTACTCCGAGAGCCACCTCACATGTTGAGTTAGGGTAGATCAGAAAGTACAACTGTCACAGTGTCACACCAAGAAATACTAAGATGTAAACATGAGGAATAATAAGAGCAAACTAAATAGCGGGCTGTTGGGCTATTTATGTTTATTTTGAAAGTTAGTGGTTGAAAGAATGTGTGTCAGTGTGTTCATGTGTGTGGACACACAGGATTTCCTGCTGTGGAGCCTCTGGCAGACAACGTGATGATATAGAGAAAGAAATCCTGACAGTGATAAAACTGTTTGTTCACTTCTTTGTGGGAATGAAGACAGTCAGCAAAACAAAGAGAAACAACTTATCTGAAGGATTTCCAGTGATGCTACATGTTTTTAAAAAGCCTAAATGAATCTCTTCTTCTTCTCCTCAGGTGAACGGTGTGTCAGTGGAGGCGAAGACACATTCAGAAGTAGTTGCTGCCATTAAAGCTGGTGGGAAAGAGACGCGGCTGCTGGTGGTGGACCCTGACACGGACGCCTTCTTCAGGAGGTGCCAAGTGGCCCCTACCACAGACCACGTGACAGGTGAGAGGACACACGGACAACACAAGGACAGAGTGAATAACCTCAATTAACTCGTAATGTTTCAGTCCAGGTTTATTGTCAGCCAAGAGCCGCAGTTATGGACGTGTTGTAGACACTAGACCGTGTCTTTCCTCTTTACTGCAAATTAAAAGTCTGTTACAGTTTCTTGGCTCCGCATTTCTCTGTCCTTTTTTATGTCTTTCTCTCTTTCTCTCACTTCCCTGCCAAGAAACACAGACAGAGACAGTGAGCCACTTCCCACCTCATGTTGATGTCCTGCAGAGAAAGACATTAAAAGATCAGATCAGACAGATCAGACTGAGACTGGACTAAGTGTTCTTTGTTACCTGACTGATACAGGAGATTGTCTTTTGCCTTCTCCTCTTTACAGAGAAGTATGGTCACCCCAAGAGCTGGTTACTATTCAGTGCATTGCTCAAGGGCACTTTGGCATCACACAGGTCCTGGGGGGAGTGTACCTACCAAAACCCACAGGGGGAGCCCTGGTGCAGTCTATGGTTTGGTTTCTGTGTTTGAGGATTGTCCCCTCCACAGCCCAGCAGCTGATGTGTGTGTGTGTGTGTCAGGCCCAGTGTCTTTGTGTCATGCCACTCTGCAGCTCTGCACCAAGAGACCACTCCTGTAAACACTGTACCGCCTGCTGTTGGTATGGCAACAGATGGGGGAAAGATGAAGCCCCCTCCATCTAGGAGAGGGCTGTTAGAATCAGGAAACTGATTTGTCTTTTATTTCTGCTAGTGTTAATGGTTTGGACGAATTTGCCCACTGCTCCCAGCTGATCATTAATAAATCACTTTGACAAGAATGTGAAAATATACAAATATAAGTAAACGTCACGCATTCAGAAAAATCCTACTACCCCTTTATTTGAACATGAAAAGAAACCATGTAAGAAGTTTAGATTAAAAAAATGTTTGTGGTACTAACAACTCATAGGCATCTGAAACATGACAAGAGCTTCCACCTAGAAACAGCTTCTTAGGTATCACCACTGGCCTAATTTTTAACAGCATGTTGTATTTTATAATTCAATATTCAATGCATTTGTCTGTAAAATACTAGTCTGAAAAGTAGCTAGTAATTACAGCAGTCAGATAAATGTACTGCTGTAAACAGTGCAACATTTCCCTCTGAACTGTAGAATCAGAATCAGAATCAGCTTTATTGGCCAGGTAGGTTGAACACACTCCAGCTCTGCAGAAATACTGTTGATTATAGTGAAGTATAAAGGAACAAAAAATGAAAATACTCTAGTAAAGCACCTCAAAATTGTACTTCATCGCAGTACTACAATAAGTGTGTGTAGTTTTTTTATTACACAGGTGATATGAAGGGTGTTGTGTACTTCAGGGTGAAACTGAATGAGAGGCAGGTGTTTTATAATTTCCTGGGCTCTTAAACCCTCCAGTGTTTCAGTCCAGGATTAAGGATAATAACGCCCTACAGGGGGAGAGATTCCAGTGAAGTGTTTCCCAGGTAACTGCCTGCACTTCACATGCTGCCCATTCAGAGGGCACCGGCCTACACTGACTCTTAACTTCAACAAACACTCATAATTTCATCATGCACACACACACACACACACACACACACACACATACACACACTGCCTCTCCCTCTCAGCAGCCTGGCTGGTCGGCACTTTTGTTTGGTTTCCAAGGCGCTCACTCCAAGTGGCCTCTCAGCCTGGAGCTGGCGCTGTACTCTTAAAGTCAGACCACAAACACACACACACCAAAGATTTCAGGAGGATTTGAATGTCACATTAACTCTGAAAGACCAGCTGCTGTCTGCTCAGTATTATCTAATGAGGAGGATCAGAGGGATGGAAGGTAAGAGATGTGTCAGACTGTGATGGTGTCTGTGTGCATTACCACCTCGCAAAACTTAGGTGTGTGTTAAAATGTAGTTATGTGGGAATGTCAGTGCATTTAAAGGGAGGTCCATTTGCAGTTATCTGATGGATACATATACAGAAGAGGAGCAGGAGGAGCACCATGTCATAGAAGAGGATCCTTGTGTGAATAATAGACAATCTCCTCATGCCTGTGATATGTAATAGAGTAGATGTTGGTGGAATGAAAGACTAGATCTAGCAAAGTGGAGCTCTCCACCCTGATGGTGCAGAACTGGGGCTAAAGGACTGTAGATCCTGACAGGCAAAGACAAACAGAGATGTATATTTGAGAGATGTCTATGACTGATTTGTGTGTCTTTGTCACTGCGTACAGGTCCACTGCCAGAGCCTGTCATTAATGGACGAATGGAAGAGAAGGTAAGATTCAGTAGCAGCAAATATAGCACATGGGGAGAGAGATAAATACAGGATGACACTTAGTGAAGTAATGGCTGAAGCTGTCATTTGGTTTGGAAATCTGCTTTAGAGCGAAGCCAAAGGTGAGATTTGAAACTTGTGTGAAGAGCTGCTGGTTTCCTGCAGCGACTACTTCCTTCTTCACCAACGGAGCCTCTCCTTCCTGGCAGACAGGAGGACAATAATAGTTCAGCCTTCTGCTTTGAATACCATGTAGCTCCTCCTGTGGCACGGGCTGTCACCGGGTCAAGGTTGAACAGTGCTGGAAAGTAACACACAGCATTTTTTTAGGTGTGGTTTGCCACATCAGAGAGCTCAACGCTGGTGAACTGAGTTATTAATCAGAGATACGTGCACTGAATAGACTTTCCTGTGATTGTCTGAATGTTCTGGCATTCATTGTGTGGTGCTGTATAGAAATCCCCACCCAGCTTGTACTCCATTAACTATTATTTGAAAGCACTTGGCCAAGAACAGAGAATATGCAAAATAAGAATCAGTCAATAAAGTTGTTTGACCCACAGTATATCAAAGCTCAGAGCTACACCATGGGCATGGAAATTGTTTACACTTTAGTTTCTGTACAGATAAATATAAATGAGATGTTGGCTGATGTTATCTTTGGACAGAGTAGCTGTTTTTCTAGTCTTTATGCTATGCTAAACTAACCAGCTGCTGGCAATACCTTCATATTTACTGTACAAACACGAGAGCATCATTTGATTTGATTGATTTATTCTTTCAAGCATGTAAAAACAGGTGATATGTCAACACACATAGTTTTACACATATCCAACAAATGCTAATCCAATATCAATTTGCTTGAATGGAGTAGGAAGAAGTCAGACTTATCCAGTCCTACCCCATGACATCATCTTACCATCATTGGATGGTAAGATGCAGTGTACATCATCATACTGTTCACTAAATTTCAGCAAGTAAGCAAAATTCCCAACATGTTAAACCATTTCTTTGATATCCTTTATTGTTTATTCCATCAAAAACAGACTCTGTATGCCCGTGTGGTGCTTTCTACATCCTTTTAAACTGTTAGTTGCGTTGCAGGAACATTGATTACTAGTGTCATGTTCACAGGTGAACACAATAGACTTTTATGTAAATTAGTACTGATAATAAGTGATACTACCAGTCTTCTATAAAGACACCAGAGCACAAACTAAACAAAAGTACTGCGCCTACTGTGGCTGCCTTCAACTTGGGCATGTGTCCATGTATGCAAAGTCAGGCTTGACCCAGGCTTTCCACTCCTTGGGGGCTGTATGGGCAGCAGTGAAGTTACATGTTCCAGGTATTGTTGCATAACAGATGCTGGTTAAAAAGGTCTGTGAGGTGATGGAAGTGGTTTTTTTAAGAGGATAGTGAGTTGGTTAAAAATTCTCAAGTTTTGAGTGTTTAATGAGCTGGAGACTGCAAGAACTTACAACCTTATCAGCTTATTCTGCTACAAAACACAGAACAGGAAAATCAGTGAATGAACAGATAAGAACCAGGAAGAGAAGTGGGAGGAGTTTTATATCAAATTTCAATGCTATTTTAAAAAGAAAAACTCAAAGTTCTTTTGCCGATTTTGTGACCTTGTCCTCACATATGTTGCAAAGGAAGCTGACATATAGTACTTTCCTTTTATTATTGATTCCTAAATCCCAAAATTTGACAAAAAGAAGCAACTCAGAACTCACCATTAATTGCTTTAACCCTTTAATTAGGACTTAAGTGTTACACAGGCTTCAGTCGATTTGCTTTTTGTTAAACTAGTTATGTGTTAGAAAGTCGAGTTTGCAAATGGGCAGAAGCTGATGTCAGCATCTTCCTTTAAACTCAGTGGAAAGCTCCATGGGAACAACAGCTCAAATCCAAGGCTGCCTCCATGTGGTGAGGACCGGTAGTGCATGAAGACTGGAAATAAGGATTGTAGTTTTCCATTCACATTTTGTGAAGTGTCTCCCTGCATAGATTTGATTATTTGTCAGCCCATGTAATGAAGTGATGCTGATGAGTGTTTGTGTTTCCAGGTGAACAGTAGAGGAGCCAAAGAGGCAGAGAGAGACTCAAAGGTGTCAGTCAGTCCTTCTCCATCCAACGCCTCATCCAACGCCTCGCTCACAACCCCACCCACAAACACCCCACCCGAGGTATGTCACAGAAAATAGTCAGCAGCACAACAGTCATATTTGATTTTAAAGAGTAAATTTCTGTTCTCTTGTTCTCTTTGTTTTTCATCGTTCAGGGTTTCATCGCTGATTCCATCCCAGCTTTCAACCTGACCCTGCAGCAGGTCAAAGAGCTCACCCACCAGAAACGCTCCAACAAGAGAGCTCCGCCCATGGACTGGACCAAGAAAAATGAACTCTTCAGCAACCTATAAGGCACCTCAGATCACCCAGCACACTCACATACTCACAGATTTTTATGATGATGATGATTCTTACAGAGACATCAGAAAGATGTTTTTTATTATCATGACCTTAAAAGATCAGTTTAACTTTGGGCAGCACTCAAACTTGAAGCCATTCTGTAAATTCTTATTATAACTCTTCATTTTATTATAACCCAAATATGTTAGTTTGTATAATGTGCTACTAACAATGAAAGATGTCAATGAAAGAGGACTAGACCATGTTGAAAATGTAAGTTTGTGTGTGTCGCTTCCTATGTCATGTGCATATGGGGGCAGGCTTTCCTTTGTGCGTGCATGTATGTGTGGACCCTGACAGTCCCTGCTGGCCAGAGTCTGATGCCTGTGGAAACAACGAGGAGTGGAGCGTCATGCTCAGCTTAACAACCCCGCTTATCTAGCTTAAACATTTATACTAACATTTAAAACATTAAAGTATATTCTGCAGGACCAACAACATATTGTACAACCAGTCTGACAATCAGGTCTTCATTTAACTCTAGTTGACCTTAATATTAGATTAGGAATCAAGCAAATTACATTTTACTTTGATGACATTTGTAACTCTCTAACATTTTTACAAATTACTTTTCAGAGCCCTTTTGTAAATCCAAAAATAACTAACTGCTTCCTAACACGAGACACGATTTTATTTTTAAACAGATGCTTTAAACTGGAAAGAATCGTATTTTATAGTGGGCACCTTACACTATAATGTATAGTATATACAGTATATATCATGTATATTTTTACATTTTTGACATAAATTTCACTCTGAGTGGGATCAACTTAACTGTGTATTGCTACATTGTCATCCACCTTTTCTCCACAATCATCTCTGATTACACGATATCATCTTTTGAATAAATGTGAATTGCGGTTTATTATGAGTAACTTAAACCGCCCCTTGCCATCATGTCTGTGAACAGCTGTTCATTTCACACTATTAGCAGATGGAAGTCTTTCATCTCTCCTGGAAAACACTTTGTGAGGTTTTTACGTTTTGGTTGATGTCTTAAAAACAATGATTATGGAACTTTTAGATCATCTAAAGGAATGTTTGTGCCGCACTGGACTGTCTGCATTTGTCCTGTATTGAGAACAGTAAGGTGTGAAACTGAAAGAGTGATTCAGTTACATGAAGAGATTTTGTAGCTTGTGCAAATAATTTCTATACTATAATAAATTAGTCATTGCTACAACTCTGTCCTGTGTGTGTGTGTGTATCAAATCCCTGTAAAGCTAATGCTTTAAAGAAAGTACAACTTTCACTTAGTTACTCACAGGTTTCAGCGTTTGGCACCAATTTGTGATTAAACACACTTCACTAAACAAAAAAGGGAAAAAATATGGTGAGAATAGAATTTGACAATTCTATTCTACACAGTTCATCTGACTGTCATACATTATATCCTAACTTGCTTTTATCCTTTTAATACAATATATGTACTATTTTGACAATAAAGAACTTCAGTAATTCATACGTTTAACTGATATAAACTCCCCTCATACAGTAGGCACCCCCCCTGCAACAGGTGTGTGCTTTATTGTATGTAAAAATTGATCACATGACCCAGATGCAGACAGACTGAGTAAACCATTTACATAGGTCAGGCTTTAATGACCCTACATATGGTGAACAGCAGATGATGATCAGAACAACCAAACAGGAGACTACAGAGACTAGCTGGTGTCCCTAGATAACAGGAACTCACAGGTAAGTGGCTACAGAACAGGTGTGTGCTGTTAAGTGACAGGTAAGTATTTATTTGCAGTTACACACAAGCTGACAGGTAACAGATGATTCTTTTGGAGTGATGAAAGCATGAAGAATTACAACTCTGCAGTTCCCCTCGGTTTTATGGAGCTTGACAGCATCTTTCAGCTGAAAAACATTTCATTCATTCATTTACTTACAAATTTTGTGTTGCTGTTATATTTTAACAGATTCCACTGTTTGCAGACTGTATTGATACTTATTCTCTCCAGAAATTGTGCCTGCAGCACAATGATGCTATGCTTCTCTCCTCCAGCACATCATTCTGTCTCCAGCACCTGTCTCTTACTAATGGCCTCGACCTTTCAGCTCTTCCACTTGCCTTTTAGCCCTGTCATCATTATCACAGCTCACTGTCACACTTTGCACTGCTCCCTTTCTGTCACTGCAGGATAATTAATCTAATTGGACATGATATTGATGGATGCCAGGGTTAAAATCAGGTAACATGGTGACTTGACAAAGATAGATTATAGTAATTATGATGGTGATTGTTATTATTACGGCTATTATGAGAATCATGATGCAACAGTGTGCGATTATATAGATAACTGTAAAGATGATGTTCAAATTGAGTTGGTATAATAACTGCAAAGATGATTGCAGAGATAACCACTACTTTTCAGTGGAATAAAGAGAAATGTGCTCATTTGGCAGCAGTTACACACCTTTATTGCATAATTGTGTCATTATAGTTATTAAAATGTACATAAGAAACACAACTGATACAGATGACAGATAGGTGTTGTTCTTCTTATCTATCTCATTGCACCCAAATGAATGTGTTTCCCAAAATGCCAGACTAACCCTTCAAAGCTTAATGTGTCAACATATTTTTGCAAGCTGCCTGTACACTGCAATAATTCTGAGATGGTTTGCGATATCGTTTTGGGCCAATGATGTTTGTATTCAACTGTGACAAGGTGAAGAGGAGGAGAGAGAGATGCAAAATTTCCATACAGCCACTTTCAGCCTTCAGCACAATTCTGGTTATCGGCTGCACTCTGTTGGCAGTTTTTTTTAGGTACACCAAGGTAAAACCGGTGAGGTCTATTACAACAGTCCTGCAATAAATTGTCCCTTCGTAAAACTGACAATTTTCGGTCTTCTATAAGAAATGCTGGAAGTAGTTTGTGGTGCTGTTGCACTATTGTGAATTAGACCGAGAGGTACCGTGCAATGGTCACCCATTTAAAATGGTTTACAGGCATGTGATGCTTCCATAAGGGAAATGTGTTTGATAAAAATGAAAACTCTGTATTCAAAGTTACACTGTATAAAAACAATTTACACCTCAGCACATGCTTTGCATTCTAAAAAGCAAGAACACTATATACATTTTCCAGCTGGCATGTCAGTTTTCTGACTCTTGTCAGTTTTCTCTTCACATACGAAGACACAGTTAGCCCAGGAGCTCCTCTCCACGTTTCTACATTAGCAATCTGAGCCATGATATCATGGTGATGATATGAAGGAGGACAGGGGATGGTGATGTTGATAATTAAAATGATGAAGGGCAGGTGTGGATTGTGCGCTGGACCTTCACAGCTTAGGTGCAAACACTGCTGATTTCTAGGCAACCATGTCCACATGGGGTTGGGGGGGTGTCCTTGTAAGACAAGGGGTTGACACAACTCTACCTTCAACCCCCCCACAGCACACTAAAAATAGACCAGGGGCGTGTGTGAGAGCACGCTGTATATACTTGTGTTACTCATGCTGTGGGAACATACACTCCCTGGCCACTTTATTAGATAGATAGATTCAGAGGTGTCTTTATATTTTTGTCCTCCCCAGCTACATACAGAGGGTTATAATATTAGGAACACCTCTGAATATAATGTAGTCCAGTACTTATACACAGTATTTATACATCTATTTCACCAAAACTGAAACATTTTGAGCTTCATAAATACTGATGTTAAGGCAGAAGTGTTGCACTGAATTGCATGCAACTGTACATCCATCCATTATCTGTACTGCTTATTCCTGAAAAGGGTTGCAGGGGCACTGGAGCCACTTCCAGTTGACACTGGGCAAGAGGCCACCCTGGACAGGTATAAAACTGTACAGGTGTACCTAATAAAGAGGCTGGTGAGTATATCTGTTTACACTGTTAGACTGCGGGGACTCCTTTTAGGGACTAAAAGCAAGTCCCCACAAAATTAGGTGAAGGTCAAGGTTAGGGTTAGGCAGGTAGTGGTTATAAGTCTTTGAAGTGATAGAAACATGACTGTGTGTGTGTGTGTGTGTGTGTAAGGCACAGTGGAGAAAATGACAGGCAAAAACACAGCTACATGGAATAAGTGACATCAAGTGTATGAAGAAGGATGGAGGGGAAGATTTGAGGAAAGTGATACAATCCAATGAGTGAAGGCAAAGTCTGGCACATTAGCTGCGAGGTGCGTAAGATCTTTGTAATACGAGCTTTTTTCTATCTGTCCTCTCTGAGAAAGCTTCATCCCTTTCTGTCTTACTTCCCTCACACACATTCACATACATACACACACACCCCATCTCCTTTTATAAAAATACCCAAGGACAATCCTCACTATTAATAGAAAGTGCTGTCAACTGGCTCTGGAGAAGTGACACCTTCTGTTCAGCTATTTTTGTGGACCTTTGTAGCCATGACCCCTTACTGTCAATTACATGTACAGTATTTTCCAGGGAACATATTTCATATTGAAAAAGTCATTTTCATTAACATTTCAACATGATATAAAATGTTTCAAAAGTTAACCCCCCCCCCAAAAAGCCTTTCCTTTTTACCACCCTAAGAAAGACGGCCATTTAATCTAGCATTTAAATATTAAATCTCTTTTAATGTATTATTTCTTACGAAGCCATTGATTTTTGCTCTGGGTGCTCATCATAAGCTCCCACAGAGAACTGCTCCAGCAGTGATGGACACAGTATTACATTATTTACTTGGCTCCCCTTTCAGCACTGGGCTCCAGTGCGGTAATTGAGCTCCACACATATTGTAGGTGATTTAAAGGCCCCAGGGTCCAGCAGCCCTGCCCGCATGTTATCCCTGACTGCATGACTGTACACCAAATAGATTGAGATTCACCACTTACATCCATTATTAGGCTAATGAAAAGAAGTCTGTTTTGAGTTACAGTGGTGTATGCATACTGCCAAACAAGTGGGAATTTGATTGATAGCTTTGTCTGATTTGGTTGACAGATTTTTAGGCACGTGCACCAGCTGAGCAATTCATCACAGATTTATGTGATCTTTGAAAGTGTATTTATATGATTTTAATGTTCTTTGCTCATGCAAATAAACCTCTAAAAGCTGTAATGTTAGATGAAATCTTGTGAGAAACCATAGGTTGAACAAGCTGACGAATTATGTCTTTGTTGTTTTGTTTTGTTTTGTTTTTTTTACTTTTGTGTTTCAAAATTTTTATAAATTATTTTAAAAATGCTATGCTCTGTTTTTGCGCTACAGGTGTTCTTTTACAACATTAACAGTGGCAGATTTCCTTTGCACATTTTTTTTTCCAGGTGCAGACTTCTTCTTCCTGGCCAAGTGACTTTTGATTTTGTTGACTGGAATTATAAATAAAATAAGTGATGCAAAGCAATAACCTATTGTTTGTGTCATGTGACACGGTAGCGTCTAAATGTGACCTTAACGTGTGAGAGGGTTCCAGGTAAGTCTTTTGAAGTTGTGAAAATTATTAAAGATTCATGTGAATGGGATTTACAGTATATGGGCAGTATAAGAAAACAAATAAAATAAAATCTCCATGTATGTTTCAGAACAATGCGCAGAGTAGCGCAGTATGCTAGCTAGCTAGCTAACTAGCTAGCTATCATAAGGCCCAATGTTACAGTAGCTAGCTAACTAGCTGGCCACCATACAGTGATGTGAATGAAGTTATCGCAAACTAATGCAGATGTTAGTTTCATTTAGAAAGTAGCTGACGTTGACTTCGTTCATATAGCAATCTAACGAAGCCAATGTTAGGTAAAAGAAGTTAACCTCCACGTTAGCTTGCAGTATGAAATAAGCTTTCAGCTTGTGACATGAACTTCTAATTTAGCTGTGTTCTGGAACATGCATCATTCAGGCTGTGATGACTTGTATACAAACAAGCTAATCCAGTACGATAACTTGTAATGTTCAGATTGTAATGCACGCTTCTTTTTAATGCATTTTTCATTCTGGGTGCTTACAGTAAAGAATGACTTCCCAGTGGAAGCATAGAGAGAAAAGGCTGGAGGCCCCGGAGGGGACAGCTTTGCAAAGAATCAGCAGGGCAGCAGGTAAAGTATTATGATAGAAATGGCAAAGCATCACTTCCTACATATTACATTTAATCTGAAGTAGGCCTGTTTTGTCAGAAGCATTTTTAAATTGTAAGTAGGATAATAACTGTTCAATCAGTCATAAATACACAGTATATTATATCTCTGCATTGTGAATGAGTTTCATCTGTCACGTAATATTAAACAGTGATTTTATGTAGGGTGCAAACCCCAAAACCTGCAGTTCAGAGAGCGCTGGTGATCAAGTAAAATATTTAAAATAGCTATTGTGAAATATTGGATAGTAATGCTAATGTTATGTGTTATGAATTCCTATGACATTTTGTAATTCTTCTGTATTCTAGTAGATATTTTTACACACAAAACTAGTCTACTACACCAGTCTAATTCCTGGGCTTCATCAGAAATCACTGAGTCAAGCCACTTTCAGCAACACGTCCGTGAAATTAAGGTGGCTACATTTTAAGTGTTCAGTTTTCTGCAGTGACAGACGAAAGTTGACGATTCGTTGATGGGCGTTCAGTATAGAAATGATTAGAATTGTTGATTGTCAGATATGCTGTGGGTAACGCTGTTCTTATTTCTGATTTTAATAATTCAGTTTCAGATGAGGCACAACCACATGGCTGCACACCAGAAAATGAGGAAGAGCCTGATGAGCATCAGGAGACACATCAGACAGGTACATATGAGGGTGCTAATGGCTGAGTGTGAAAGTGCTACTATAAAAGGGCCATACCAGTAACAGCGGGATAAAGAGAAAGATAAATGCTGTGGACAGTCTGAAGACCTACATGTCTGAACCTGACCTGGACCAGAACATAATTTCCAAACTTCTGTCATTTTGTCCTCCAAATACACACACACACACACACACACACACACACAACTATGCACATTTTTGTATTTCACATAACTACATTACCTTTTGGCTCATCATCTGTCCAATTACAGAGAATGATTTAATGAAACTCTTAAGTATAATTCTGCATAGGTTCCATAAATTATCTTAAGAATACCACAAATTTGGCTTTGGTTGTTGTACTGTTAAGCTCCCAGATCCATCTGAGCAGGCCAGAGCTGCCAAGAGCCTAAACTCTGCTAGAAGTATTCAGGATGGGCTGATACTACGCGTGCTCATCATGAAAGGGCTTCCCTTAATGTATCCCACACAAAAAAAATGTGGATGAGGTTAGTAGGTAGAATGCTAGGTTGCATTTGCAGCACAGGCAGAAGTGTTTTTAAACTATTCTTCACACTTTTGTTATTGTATTTTTATTTATATTTTTTGGTCTGTGAAAGGGTAAAAAAGACACCACAGTCTTTCTCATGCCACCACCTTGACATTTGGAGAAATGCAGACCTTGACAGGCCAGAGAGACGTCCCTCGTTATGGTTGCTAAGCTGTGACCGGACAGCTGCGGTTTGACTGAGGGGGTTTGACCATCAGTCTTGATGTTAATTGCTGTGTATGAAATAACCCTCTGGGAAACAAACATCTAAATGTGGTTCAGTGATGTGGGTGTCTGTCTGTATATTTTTATATTTGTGTAAGTGTTATGAAAAAATTGCCATATTGTTTGCCACGTTTTAAATAATTACTTAAATTCCCTACAGCAGTCCAAGTATTTGCCTGTTTTATGGTGTGCGTGTGCGGCCTTGTTTTTCTATACTTGTGTGGCCCAAAACCCAAGAGTTATTATCTTTGCGGCGACCGGAAGTCACTTGTGGGGACTGGAGGCTGGTCCCCACAACATAGTTTGTCCAATTTTATGAAAATGATGGGGTGTAAGTTTAGAGCAAGTGTTGGCTTTGGTTAAGATTAGGGGAAGGGTTAAGGTTAGACAAGTAGCAGTTCTGGTTAAGGTTTGGTTAAGTCTCCTTGAAATGAATGTAAGTCTGTGTAGGGACCCGGGAAGTGACAAAAACAAGGATGTGTGTGTAGGGGGGCCCAGGAATAGGGCTTGGGTCGGGACAGCACTTAAAGCTTAGCACCATTCCGTTTAAACACCTGTCACACATACACACGCAGCTTTGCATTTGCACTCAGACTTACATACCCGTGCACACACACACCTGTCTGATACATACCATACACTGTGTCTGTTTGTCCATCTGTCTCACATTCAGACTTGAACGTACTGTGACATGCTTAGAAATGTTTGCGTTTGTGTCTACAAGATCGCGTTTCTATATTCTCTCACATGGCTGATTTCAGTCTGCAGGACTTGTACAGAATGTCTCGGACCAGGCACCCATAGTGCCAACAGCTTCTGACACACATTGTGGGCATTGTGGGTGTGCGTGCTGCTTTATGATAAAAGCCACTAATCAGATGCAAATTAGAGGGAGCTTTTTTTGTCATAGCTGACCTGTTTTCAGTCTGTTTTATCATGATAATGGTGAGGCCAAAACAAGAGTCTGCCACAACTGGTAAACAACAAGCGAGTAGGTGATAAATACTTATTGTCACTGAGCTTTTCCGTCCTCTGTCAGTTCTCTTGCTGAGCTTCTTCATAGTAGAGTCCCTCCCTCTTGCTCAGTGCTCATCTGTCATCCTGTCATCGCTGCTGTTTCTCCAACCCTGTGCACCCTGTCATTCCCACTGTGCCAACAATCAGGCACATATATGGTGAGGCCATCCGGCAGGGCACCACAGGGTTAAATATACTCTGAAGCGCCAAGAATGTTAAACTCCTCCAACTATCCTGCCAGAGGGAGATGCACCATAGGGCAGAGAGGCATAATACTACACAATTATGTTTATTCTTGCATATTTAACAGGTGAATTCAAGTAAAAGTTGGTGTGAGTTTGATTTTTAAATTAAATAT